ACTGAACCACCAGAGGCACAGCCATTGGGCTAGCAGCACAACACTCTGGGGCCCACCCCACCAGGGCTCCCTTAACCAATAATTGTTGTTGTTGTTGTTGTGTACTGTAGAGTTAGAACCAACCAATAGCTGAGCCTCTGGGAGCTTTATTGCATGAGAGGAGATTGCCATCTTTCTCCTACAGAGCAGTTGGTGGATTTGAACTGCTTGCCTTCAGGGTTGCAGTGCAGCTCCTCCCTTACCACTAGGCCATAACCTAAACATTCATCAGTAAAGTTCAAGGGACAAGATAAATAATTTATGGTATACTCAAACAGAAACTGTAATTATTCTTTAATTTAGTTCATTATACATTTATACAGAACCACCTCCAAGATATGGTAAGTAGGAAATACAAGGTGTAAAACTAGGTAAACAGTACTCTAATATTGTATTTTTTAAAAAAGAGAAAGTAAATACATAAGTTTATTTGCTTGTTATATATTTATTTCTGCAGAACAAATTAATCCCAAAATTCAGCAACATGAAAAACTCCAACTCATTATCTCATTTTCCACAGGACCAAAAACTGGACAAGGTTTATCTGGTTACTTTAGGCTTAGCTCTCTCAGGAGGTTGCAGTTAAGCCGTCAGGGGGGCCACCAGCTCATCTGAGTGAGTGAGGGGGTGGGGGTCCCCTCACTCTTGGCTGTTGGCAGGCAACACACCACAGGGGCCTCTCCACAGGGCTGCCTCCCAGCATGGCAGCTGCCTCCCCTCAGGGCAAGTGATGCAAACATTTTACACAATGTGAACTGGGTACTTATTCAGAAAATAAATCAAACTTAATTTAAAAAGCAATTACAAGGCTAGCACTTGAATAGCAGAAGACAAGCTAAGAGGGTAAAAAAAAAATAAAAACAAGTACACTTAAATAATGCATAGTTGTTATTAAGCACCATAAACATACCGGTTATGCATTTGTAGTCATGATTACTTGTTTCAATGAAGGACATTTGAAAGGTTTTTCATTATCTCACGCATACCAACTTCTATTTGCGGAACAAAATACAAATTCTTGAAGGCTCTTCACAATTAGGTCAGTCCATCTTACTGACCTATTTCCTGCCATTCTCCCATCTTGCTATAAATTTTACTGAAGTGTAATAGAATATTTGCCAGCTCTGATGCAGGGGTGGGGAGGGTGGTGCGTGAGAGAAAACACAAAGTCTGGCATATGGCACACTTTTACCAAGTGATACCTCTCAATCTTCCTCAAATACTGCCTTTGCTGAGGTTGTCCCTTTGCATGAAATGCTCTGCAACCCACTCCTTGCCTCAAATAAAATTCTCATTGGTCTTAACTCAGTGTCATTACCTCAAAATTTTCTTAAATAGTCAATATTGCCTTTATTCCATCCCAGCACTCTGGTTTTACTTCCTACTACATTCTTAATATTGTATTACAATTTGTTGTCGGTCTCATGAAGTTGGAACTGAATCCTAGCTGACTCTTCAGGAGGTTTTCACAGGCTGTAAACCACACAGGAAACTGCTCATCTTTCTCCCAAGAAGTAGCTGATGGATTCAAATAACCTGCCTTTCGGTTGGCAGTGAAACTCCTTATCCACCAGGTCACAGGAGTTCCCCGTATTACAGTTGAAATCTCTGCAATTCAAATTCAGGTCCTGACCGTCAGCATAAGTATTACCTGGCCTCTTTTTAGAAATATACTCTCACACTCCAATGAGAACTACACAATTAGAATCTAAATTTTTACAAGTATGGTACAATCAAAAGGGTGTTCCTAGTCATTGGTTTTGACTTTTGCCCCATGGCTGGGTAAGACTATGCTAATGAGGTGAATAAGTGAAAAGCTTCTTTTGGGTAGGAACATGCAAACAAGGTATGCAGATAAACAAGGGGATTGGTCAGCCTTGACAACTTAAATCAAGCTTTACTTTACCAAGTTTAAAGGCAGAAACCGGGAATCTCACTACCAGCAAGAAAAAAGTGGAAAGTTCAGCACATGTCTATTTGGACCAGAGTCATATGAGGATCTAGATGAGAGCAGTAGCAGCAGCAAACAGACCAACCAGACAGACAGAGCTGCATTGGGATTGTCACCTCCCAAAGCCAGGACCAGTGCCAAGGCCCTCATCCAAGCTCGCTGGAGAGCTGGGGAAGAAGCATCATACCTGGCAGGACTAAAAGAGCTTTGTAACACTGGCCTGGAGCTGAGAGGCTGAATAAACTCCATAATCATGAGTATGGTTCTATGCGGTCTATGAGCTATTGCAATAGATTTTGGACCCAAAAGAACAGCAGGATTGGTGTTGGAATTAGTAGGAATAGGCATGGGAGTGTGAGGGAGATGTCTGACCTCATGGGAACTGGTTTTGTGTTGTGGATGCTGTGGATAGGAGAAGTTTCCCCTTGTGCAGCAAGTAAAGGCTGGATTCAGCTCCCATGCTGCCCTTGCTCCTATTACATCCCTCTTTTTGCTCAATGCCTGATTTTTTCGCTTAACAACCCTGTCTTTGGAACCTAACCATGTAACTGAGGAATAGGTAGACTCTACTAAGCTCCTTTACATGCAAACACTCAGACTTGTCCAACGACCCTGGCAAGTCAACAGATCTGGCAGTACCACATCCTTCTCACAGATGAACACACTGAACCCCAGATATGTAATCTCAACGTAGATGCTCTCCCACCCAAGCAGCTATTCCAAGCTCAGGATGTGACAAGCCAGTGGCCAGGTTCAGAGGGGGAAAATTTTCAGGTTAGGATTCTCATTATCCTAGTTTAAAACCATAGGGTAAGAGAAAAGCTTTTTTTCCTTGATAATATAATCTCTGTTACTATTCTCAGTTTTTCATAAATTAAATTTTTATTTAATTAACTTCAAAGATTCAGCAACAGCCTGTATTATGCGGATGACACAACCCTGCTCGCTGAAACTGAGGAGGACCTGAAGTGCTTGCTGCAGAAGGTCAAGGACTGCAGCCTTCAATATGGATTAAAGCTCAAAATAAAAAAAAAAACAAAGATTCTCACCACTGGGCTGATTGGCAACATCAGTATGGATGGTGAAGAAACTGAGATAGTTAACAGGTTTTAGTTTGCTTGGCTCCACGGTTAATACTCTTGGTACCAACAGCCAGGAAATCAAGTGACAAATTGCACTGGGAAAGTCAGCTGTCAGGGACCTCTTCAGAGTACTAAAGAGCAACAATGTCAGGCTGGAGACTAAGGTGCACCTGATCCAGGCTATAGTCTTCGCTATTGCATGCTATGCACCAGAGAGCTGGACAGTGACTAGGGATGAATAGAAAGAAAATTGATGCCTTTGAGCTGTGGTGCTGGAGAATAGTATTGAATATACCATGGACTGCTAGGAGAACAAACAGGTTTATCCCGGGGAGGGTGAAGCTAGGCTGCTCCTTGGAGTCAAGGATTCTGAAGCTTTATCTGACATACTTTGGGCATGTTGCAAGGAGAGATCAGTCCTTGGAGAGGGACATCATGTTTGGGAGAGGAAGATCCTCGATGAGTTGGGGTAGGGGGAGGAGGTGTGTCGGAGACAATGAGGTTGGCCTAGGATAGAGCACAGTTTAGGGATCTTGTACATAGGGTTGCTATAAGTTGCAAGTGACTCAATGACACATAACAACAACAACAAAGTTTAGTTTCTTTCTTTTTTCAGCAATGGAATGGTTGCTATATCACTGAGTGTGTCTGAATTTTTGATACATCATACAGATTCAAAACTGGTGGCATAGTACATAAGGAGTTATGCTGCTAACCTAAACATGGCACCTCTCTGGTGGTTCAAATCCATCAGCAGCTCCATGGGAGAAAGATGGGCAATCTCCTCCTCTGTGATTTACAGACTCCGAAAACCACTGGATGGTCAGCTCAATTGTGACTCGACAGCAAAGAGACAAAATACGGGTTTTGATACATATTATACAGGACATAGATGTCTCTCTAGATTCTACATTGTGCTCTGCTCAGCACATTCAATGTTTAGTACCTGAAAATGTGTTATTTATGTGACTGAGGAATTATCTTAAGAAACTCAATTTCTAAATAATTCACAAGAACCAAGTTACTCATATACTTAGAAGGATTATCTCATTGTAAAAAGGCCAAAATAGATAAAAATTTTGCACAATCACACCCTAATAATGTAAAACTTCTTCTAAAACCCTGTAAAAATAGTTATTTGCAGTAAATTCCTGTCTCTTCCATTTCAAACTGTTACCCAAGTCCTTGCCTGACGGCAGACTGTGCTGTCAGTGGTATAAAAGCTTCCCAATAAATCTGAGAAGCGGAAAACGTAGGTGGACACAGCATGTGTCATTGCTCATGAAAGGGATAAGCACCAGCACTAGCCGACCGCTTCAAGAAAACGCACTGGGAATAATTCATGCTCCACTGCTTCCCCCTGGCGGTAGGCTCTGAAACCTAAAAGCAGCCTGTGAATAAAAAAGGCACTGTAATGGGTGCCACCCTAAAAATGTGTTTTAATGTTTTTCAACATTATCTTATTTCTTTAAAGAATTATAGCTATTCTGTCTTTCTTCAAGGACTCAGGTTCTTATTTAAATTCATGAAACCAAGACCTGGAGTCAATCAGGTTTAGTGCAAGAGATGTCCCCATCGGGGAGGAGTACTCAGTGCATCTCTTCACCTGTCCTTTCTTTCACCACTTCTGTTGCTTTTGCTTCTGCCCTGTTTCTCACAAGTGTGCCTTCCTTGCTTTCTCTACGTCACCATCCACCTCCCTCAAGCAAGGGCAAGAGGAGGTCCATGTGCTCCCAACCAGGATCAGGAATGAAGAAGACCCAGCATGGAAACATCTACCAGCAGTCGTTTCAAGGGCCAGTCCTTAGGTGCTAAGCAATGACACTTTGCGTATATCACAGTGCGGTACTGACACTGCTTTAGAAATCTCAGAATGCAGCAGTCTTCAACTGTGCTCCCTCTGAGCTCCAAATAGACGCACAGCTTCCTTACTCTTCCAGGAAGAAGGAAACATTCAACAGGGTATCTGGAATAGAAAGAGAATTTCTGGTTGTGCCATACCACCGCTCCAGAGGATCAGAATGTCAGAGTATAAAAGATACAGAGGCTGTGAGTGCCTCTGTATATTTCCAAAAATGTGGGATGTAGAGAAACAGAGGAGGCATCAGGGATAAAAAATCCAGTACCTTGAACGAGGTCTTGGTGTTTGTCTTCTGAAATTTGATCCCAGGCCTTGGGCAAAGCTTGAATATTTGCCAAGTCTCCCCACTGGATCGAGGAAAGGAGGTACTTTCTCTTCAGGTACGTTCCTGGGAGTTAAGGACTGGTCAGAAAAGAAAATTAAATACACTGAAGAAGAAAAAAAAATACCCTAGTAGTCTAAGCCATTGGTATCAAGTTAATTCTGACTGCTTTATATGTTCTGGTGGTACAGTCTGTAGTGAGTCACACTGCTAACCAAAAGGCAGTACAAATTCCTCAGCACTTCTGCAAGGAAAATGCAGGCTGTCTCATCTCCTCAAGGCTTATTGCCTTGGGAACCTGAAGGAGGGATGCTATCAGCTCAAACCAACTCGATGGCAGTGAATTAGCTGAGAATTGCCCTATAATGCTTCCAGGGCTGGATATACACAAAAGCAGATTGTCACAGCTTCTCCTGTGGATTAGGTGGTAGAATCAAGCCAGTGTTTTAACCACTGTGCCACTAGGCTTCCAAGTCAAAGTCTAAGGAACAATACAAGTGAGAGTATAGATATCACTATACTTTACCAAGCAAGCAGAAATCACCTGGCAAATATTCACTCTGTTGTTATTATGTGCTGTTGAGTCACCTGCGACTCAGCAACCCAATGTGCAGCAGGTTTGAAGCCTGCCCTGTCCTGAGCCTGTCTCACTGATTCCTACACACCTACTCCAATTGCCCCAGTTACTGTATCAATCCATCTCATCCAGGGGCTTTCTGATGTCCTTCTCCAAGGACTGGTCCCTCCTGGCCATGTGCCCCAAGTATATAAGCCAGAGCTTCAAAATCCTCACCTCCAAGGAGAAACTTGGTTTCACCCACTCCAAAACAGACCCGTTTTGTTTTCTTGGTGGTCCATGGTATGTATGTTCAATACTCTTCTTCAGTACCACAACTCAAGGTATCGACTCTTCTTCTATCATCCTTAGTCACTGTCAAGCCTATGCATAGCAAGTAACTGTGGAGACCATGGCCTGGATCAGGAGCTCCTTAGTCTCTAGACTGACACTGTTGATCTTCAACACTCTGGAGAGGTCCCTGACATCAGATTTTCCCCAGTGCAATTTGTCTTTTGGTTTCCTGACTGCTGGTGTTAAGAGTGTCGATTGTTGAGCTAAGCAAGCTGTAACTATAACAACCTCAATCTCTTCTCCAGCTCCATCTTTGTGCTACAAGCAGAGGAAAGAAACACTACACACACAATCTATGAACCCCTTTAAGTCTCATGGGAAGAAAATTAAAAACTGAAAAGAACACAAGTGACATGAAATAAAAAGTTCAGAGGAAGTTCAGGGGATAAAAAGATCCAGTTTAAGGAGTAGCAGGAAGATTCCACCTGATGGGAAGCATGGGGAAAGCTAAGGGAAACGTCAGTCTACTAGTTTTGCTGACAGGGAGGCAGCATGCAGAGCAGAAGGAAAGGTGGCTGGAAAGGAAAGCCGAGTCACAAAGAGCAACAAGCTATCATCCTGGAGCAACAAAAGCTCCCAGCAAGAAGTTCCATGTATGTGATTTAATTAGAACGAGACTCCCAGAAGAAACACGGTTTGGGATCATGAATGGGAACAGGAAGACAGCTTGATGGGAAAGAAGTTAGGGACAAGGAAATGCGACAAGAGGCTTCTTGTTATTAAGAGTCCAAGGGAGAGTTAAGTGTGGAAGCGGCACAGGGGACAGAGAGGAAAGACAAGGCAAGTAGCAGCAAGAAATACAATCAGAGGACTTGAAAAATGAGAGTAAACGTTCCTAGAACAGGCCTTAGCACACAACAAGGCAAGCGCTCAGGACTGACTGCTGCACCTCCTGCTCTTACTGCTGTTGCCGCTACTTTTACGACCACCTACAGCAATTACATGGGTTACATTCCAATATTAAGGAGTCAAAGCCCCTCATCACTTTGCTTTATTAATGTCTCAGTATCAGGAAGACAAACATTCTCATCACTTTTCCATCTCTGCGTCAAGAGGCAACATCATGATAAAGGGCTGAAGGTGTAATCATGAGAAAGGATTGACGTTGTCCATGATTTCACCTTGCTTGAATCAACAACAATCAATACTGTTGGTGCCAGCAATCGGGAGATCAGGGGAAGTACTGCACTGGACTAGTCTGCTGTCAAGGACTTCTCCAAAATCCTGAAGAGCAATGATGTCAGTCTGAAGATTAAAATGTGCCTGATGCATGCCATGCTCTCTTCAATCATTTATTACACATCTGAGAAGGGGAAAATGAGTAAGATGATAGAAGAATTGATGCTTTTGAGCAGTGGTGTGGCAGAAGAGTATCGAATATCTCATAGACTGTCTATATTGGGAAAAGTGCTACTATAATGCTCCTGGATGTAAAGATGGCAAAACTATCTCATACTTTAAGCTGCTTGTTAGAAGCTGTTCCTTAGAAGGAGATACCACACTTGGGAAAGTGGAGGGTCAGCGAAAGAGAGGAACACCCTCAATGAGATGGACTGACAGTAACTGCAGCAATGGGCTCACGTGTGTGAGATGATGAGGATGGCACAGGACAGGGTTCAGGTCTGTTCTTCACAGCGTCGCTATGAGTCATACTTGACTCAACAGCATCTAACACCAACATGGCAATTAAAAAAAAAGCAATGATTGGAGGGTGAACATGATTCTTCTTTCCACACTGGATAACAAGGCTGGATTAAGTCTATGACTAAAGGAAAAGGAGGCTGTGTTAAAGGACTAGATTGAGTTCACTTTAAACTTGACTGAGTTTGCAATTTCAGTGCAAGATCCAACTGGAGGCAATTTCAGGAAATGGAAAATCAAGACTAGAGACAAGAAGAAAGGTCAGTTCTTGGGAGCCACTCACATGAAGGTAGAAGATAAAATCAGAGGGTACGAGGCAAGAATTAAGACAAAAGAGTAAAAACTCCAAGTGGTTCTTCCATAAAATCCTCTTTTCATTGAGGAAAAGCAGATCCACCACACAGACTATAATACTCTCCTAACTGGTCTTTCTGCTTCCACCCTTGCCATCTACTCAAATCTTTCCTCAAAAGAGGACCAGGATGACATTATTAAAAACATACGTTTAAATCATGTCACTCTTTAACTCAAAACTTTCAGTGGTTTTCCAACTTCCAGGGAAAAACTTAAATCTTTCCAATGCCCTTCAAGCCCCAACACAGCCTAGAGCCCTCTCCTGACTTGATTTCCTGTCAGGCTACACACGAGGTCACCCTGGCCTCTGTGCCATTTCCCGAACATAACAGCAGGTTTTCCTCGCAGGGTCTCTGCAAGTGTTGTTCCCTCTGCTTGGAACACTCCTCCCCCACATACCCACACAGTTTCCTGCCTAATACTCTCCTTTGTTCAAACGGCACATTCTCAGTGAGGTCTGCCTTCACCCTGTTTGAAATTACAATCTCATCCTCTTCTGTCAATTTCTCCTTTCTCCATAGCATTTATCCCCATTGGAGCTACTATTTTTTCTTTTTTGTCTAATGTTCCTGGCACCCAGAACAATACCTGGCAGGTAGTTAGACACTCAATAAATTATTTGGAGAAATAATTGTACTAAAGAACCCAGGAGGAATCCAAGTTCAGGAACCAAAGAAACCTGACCATAACTATTTCATATTCTAATCTTATGAAAGTTGAAATTAAGCAGACTTAACAGAACAGCTCTGAACACAGTCTAAACTATATGCAAAGGATATGAATTTCTATAATGTCTCTCAATATCTTGCAACCATTCCAACATGTCGGCCAGAGATGGGCTCACAACAGAAGGCTGCAGGACGGCATCGATGCCAATTCTATCTGCATGCTGCTGGTAGACCTGGAACACTTGCTCCACGTGGCTGCTGACCGTGTCGCGCACCTTGAGGAGGGTGGCCCTGCGGGGAAAGAGCAAGATCATGAGAAACGTCTAAGGTAAAGTTTCCCCATCTCAGCACTATTGACATTTTGGGCTGGACAATTCTTTTTATGCAAAGCTGCCCTGTGCACTATAGACTGTTTCACAGAAATCCTGGCCTCTTCCTACTAGATACCAGGTGCAAACCACTATGTAAGCTGTCACAAAAACTGTCTCCAGGCATAGCCAAACATCCCCTGGAGAGAAAGTCATCCCCAGTTGAGACCCACTTGTTTAGGGATAGTAATGGCAATGCCCTGGAAATAAGGATGACTCAGCAATCAAGAAGTGACTTTGTGACAGAGAGGCTGAAGAAGTAATATGTCACTCAAAGCTACATGACAAGCAAACCCAAAGGCATGCAGTTCTAATCCACTGTCTGCTCTGCAGGGGAAAGATGGGCAATCTCCTCCTGTGCCATTTACTGCCTCTGAAAACCTGCTGGAGGCTCAGCTATACGTCACTCCTGACTCAACAGTAGATAACAACAGCAAGGCCAAAGAAAGTAAAGACCAAGGGGTCTATCGAGGCCTACAATAATACTGGGAAGAGAGCAAATGCTCACTCATAGTCTCATGCCATGGGATGAAAAGGGATCAAAGAAGAAACTGAAGCAGCAGACCAGTGCTGTCTATATGTTTCCTAGACCCAATGTAGACAATTCTTGAAGAGGAGTGTCTGAGCTCTGGATCCAGACTTCAGAGGACTGTAGGAAAGTTATTTATCCTTCCTCATGTGTGAACATGTTCTGTTTTGTTTACACACTCTAAGTACCGAGAACAGTACCTCTGTACTTAGTCCTAAACACACAGAACAATAAACACTTGTTCACTGAATGACTAAAGAGGATTATTAAAATAAAATGCAACAATGCATTTAAAATGCTTAGATCTGTGCCTAAGGAGTCCCTGTGTGGTGCAAACTTTTCAGTAGCTTGACTACTAGTTGAAAGGTTGTTGTTATTGTATACCGTGGCGTCGGAACCAATCCACAGCTGACCCTTTGCCGGGTTTTCAGAGGCAGTTCAGGTGATTGCCCATCCTTCTCCTGCAGAGCATCAGGTGGCCTCCAACTGCATGCCTTGGGGACTGGAGTGCAGCTTTTTGCCACTAGGCCACCAGAGTTCAAGTCCATCCAGAGGTGCCTTAGAAGACAGGCCTGACACTCTGCCTCTGCAAGGTCACAGCCTTGAAAACTCTCTGGAGCAGTTCTACTCTGCACGTGTGCGGCTGCCCAGAGTCATAAAGAATCTGACAACAGAAAAGTGTCTTGTTGTTGGGTGCCACTGAGCCAGTGCCAACTCCTGGCCACCCCATGAACTGAACAAATCACTGCTCCGTCCCGCATGTTCTCAGGACTGCTTCTGTGTCCGAGCCCACAGCTGCAGCCACTGTGTCACTTCCATGTGTCCAGAGTCTTCCTCTCTTTTGCTGCCCCTCAGCTTTACACAGCTTCTCAGAAGATGTGAGCTGAGGCCTCATCTTCGTTTCTGAGGAGCACTAGCTGTAACTTCTTCCGAGACAGACCTGTTTGTTCTTTTGGCAATTCATGGCACACGATAATTATTTTCCTTTTTGAAATGATGATTTCAAGAGCCTAGCCACAGAAACTACAACTTCCCCCAAAGCAAAGCTTTCTCTAAACTATAACTGTGGCATTCAACAATGTTTGACCCTGATTTACAATTAGAACACACAACTGAAGTAACAATTCAATACCCTCCTCAAATATGTAATTAATTGAAATAAAAACATGACCCCCTGAAACGCTGATTTTTCAGACTATGGTTCTTATTTGCAGGCTGCGAACAGTATTTTAAAAGATTAAAGCAGAAGATAAAAACAGAGTGCATGATATGGTTTTCTAAAACATTTCTTTCAGTTACATATGTACACATATCTATGTATATGTTTACAGAATGGAATACAAAATGTCTGTCTTCTTGTAAATCAAAGTCACGTTTCAAATCTACTAGCCTGGAGGAAACTAGGGCCTCTTGGAGGAAGGCTTTCAAAGAATTCCTTCTTTAAAAAATTGCTATATGAATGAACGGAAATCCAAAATCTCTGTAAATGCTCATTAAAATTATTTAAAAAAAAATAAAGTTTAAAAAATAAATAAAATAAAAGGAAAAAGGAAGGAAAAAAATTGCTATAAAAGTCCCTGGAGTCTTCTTAAAACCAAAGTTTCGTTTAACTGGTAAAAAGTGTCTGCCTTAAGCACTATGCTCTTTTCAGATCAACAGGGGATCAGTAAATAACATCATGATAAAGAGAGAGAAGTCTGAAGTTGTCAAGGACTTAGTTTTACTTGGACCCACAATCAGCAATCATGCAAACAGCAGTCAAGAAAGCAAATGATGGCAGACCTGCTGCAAAAGACCTTTCTATAAAGCAAACATGTCACTTTGAAAACGAAAGTACCCTTGGCCTAAACCATCATATTTTCATTTGCCTCACGCACATGTGAAAAGTAGACAATGAAGGATATCAACGAGCAATGGCTGTCTCTGAGTTACAGTGTTGGTGAAGAACATTAAATATATATGAACTGCAAGAAGGATGAACAAATATGCCTTGGAAGAAGTATGTTTCTGCTCCTTCTGCCTGTTTCTCTCTGCAGACCAAAGAATGCCGCCTGGGAGACCCCTTATTAAAGCTTCTTTAGCTTATTTAAGGGGGGGAAAAAAGTATGTTTCTTAGAAGAAATGTTTCTTAAAAACAAGGATGGTAAGACTTTGAACATTGTTATCAGGAGGGACCAGTCCCTGTTGAAAGACACCATAGTAGGTAGAAGGTCATCAAAAAAAGAAGTAGCCGCTGAATGAGATGGACTGATAGAATGGGTGCAAAAATGAGTTCAAACCCCGTGATGATTATGAAGACACAGGCCTAGACAGTGTCCTGTGCTATTGTACACAGGGGTCGCTATGGGTCTCAACAAACTCAATAGCACCCAACACCACCACAGGGGATCAAAGTGAAACAGTAAATCGAAAGATTAAGTAGTTATCTTAGGGGGCAGTCAGATCGTGAGAATGGGAGAGGAAAGACTGAAAAACGGAGAATGCGAATGGCTGCACAACTCAAAGAATGTAATCAGTCTTGCTAAATTGTACATACAGAAATAGAAAATGGTTTAAATGGTCTTTTTTTTAACAATATAAGAAATGTAATTCACATATCATAAAATTTTAGATGGATCTGGCTGAAAGCAAAGAGTACCAAAGGAACGTCTATCTGTGTTTCATTGACTATGCTAAGACATTTGACTGTGTGGATCACAACAAACTGTGACTAAACTTGAGGGGAATGGGAATCCCAGAACACTTGATTGTGTCATTATACTCTGACCAGAAAGCAGTCCTCAGAAGAGAACAAGGAAAACTGCATGGTTCAAAATTAGGAAAGGAGTGAGTGAGGGATGGGTCCTGTCTTCATACTTTTCAATATATATGAAGAACAGATCATTTAGGAGGTCGGACTTTATGAGGAGGAATGTGCCATCAGGGTTGGAGAAGACTCATCAACAACCTACATGATGCAGATGATACAACCTTGTTTGCTCAAACTGAGGAGGACCTGAAGCATTTGCTGCAGAAGGTCAAGGACTGTAGTCTTCAATATGGATTAAAGCTCAACATCAAAAAGAAAAGACTCTCACCACTCGGCCAACTGGCAGCACCATGATAAAAAGACCTAGGTTATTAACAATTTCAGCTTGCTCAGCTCCACAATCAACACTCTTGGCATCAGCAATCAAGAAATCAAAAGATGAAAAAAAAGGGGACATGTGGAACAGAAGGGAAAAAAAAAGAAATCAAAAGATGAACTGCATTGGGAAAATCTGCTGTCAGGGACCACTCTAGAGTACTGAGAAGCAATGATGTCAGTCTAGAGACTAAAGTGCTTCTGATCCAGGCCATGGTCTTAGCAATTACTTGCTATGCATCAGAGAGCTGGACAGTGACTAAGGATGACAGAAGGAAAATCAACACCTTTGAGTTTTGGTGCTGGAGAGAGTATTGAACATACATACCATGGACCACCGAAGAGAACAAACATGTCTGTCTTGGAGAAGGTGAAACCAAGTTTCTCCTTGGAGGTAAGGATTTTGAAGGTCTATCTCACACACCACAGGCATTTCCCAGAAGGTACCAGTCCTTGGAGAGGGACATAATGCTTAGAAGGGTGGAGGAAAACCCCAGGTGAAATGGAGTAACTGGAGGAATGGGAGTAGGTGTGTCCGAGTCGTGAGACTGGCTCAGGATATTCAGGGTTCTGAGCTAGTGTACTTAGGGTCATTTTGAGTCACAGGCAACACAATGGCACATGACAACCACATAAAATTTGCTCCTCTGAAATATAAAATGCCATAGCGTTTAGTACATTCAGAGTTGTGGACATTGTATCATCCCTGTGGACTCTGGGAATTTTCATCACCCGCAAAAACAAATTTCAATTAAAAAGAAAGCCCATATCCCCTAGCAGTCACTTCTGGGAGGGACCAGTCCTTGGAGAGGGACATAATGCTTAGAAGGGTGGATGGACAGCGCAGGAGAGGAAGAGCCCAGATGAGATGGATTGATACAACAACTGGAGCAATGGGGGTTGATGTGTCAGTGAGACTGGCTCAGGACAGGGTAAGTTTCAGAGCTGTTGTACCTAGGGTCACTATGAGTCGCAAGTGATTAGATGGCACATAACAACAACAATAAGACTTAGATTGGTATCCTGTTGTTGTTAAGTGTCGTCGAGTCTGCATTGCTCTTTCAAACGGTTTAGGGGGAAAAGTTAAAGGGGAGGCGGCAGGTAGTAAAGAGGGAGCAAGAGAAATTTATTTGTAATGAAGGAGCTCCACGTCTTAATTGTGGTAGTGGTTACATGAGTCTACAGGTGATAAAACGCAACACAACTGTTGTTGTTGTTAAGTGCCACTGAGTCACAGGTGAGTCATAGCGACCCTATGAAGGAGAGTCCTCAACGCTTGGGTGTCTTTCATCCTCTCTCCAGGTTCATAGGATTTCCAGAGGCAAGATATTACAGAAGTGGATATACTACCAAGTGGTATTCCAAGCTTGTTTTAATCGGGGAGCTCCACCCCACTTTCTGTCTGCATTGGGTAATCGACCATTAACGCACTGGACACATCAGTATCACAGTGTTCAGCCTCACGGCAATCACAAGTTACCGCTGTACGGCAACTTGTACACCAGGGCTATACGACCTAGAGGAATGTCTGAACAAAAACAATGAAAGACAGGCCCGAGGGCCACGGATTAAAAGTCACAATCTTTGGCTTGGTAGCATCGCTTTCTGTCCACTGGGCCAGCTGATCGCTCTCTCTCTATGTTGATGTTATTGTTGTTAAGTGCCATCGAGTCAAGGCGTCTCATAGTGACCCTCTGGCTTAGTATCCTAGCTTTATTATTTACTAACTGTGTGACTTTTCACTATCTTTATCTAATTGCTCTATTTAGCAAGTAATTCAAGAGGATGGATTTTATGACGAACACAGCGTCAGGGCTGAAGAAAGATTCATTAACAACTTGTGTTACAAAGATGCCAATCTTGCTTGCAAAAAGCAAAAAAAGAAGTGAAGCTTTTGCTGATGAAAATCACATTACTGTCTTCGGTACAGATTACATTTTAATATCAAGAAAACAAAAATCCCCATATAGTGGACCTGTAAGCAACATCATGATAAATGGGGAAAACTTCTAAAGTCATCAAGGACTTGGATTTACTTACAAAAAACATTTATGATAGCTGCTGTCCAGAAACCAAGTGATGTATTACACTGGAAAACACTCTTACAAAAAAGACTTCTTTAAAGTGTCAAACAAAGATGGCACTTTCAAGATGAAGGTACACCTGACCCAAGCCATGGTATTTTCAACTACTGCACAGGCATGTGAAAGCCAGACAATAGACAAGGAGGACCAAAGAATGATGTCTCTGAATGATGCTGTGGTGAAGAACTCTGAATATCCCAAACTGTCAAAAGGAAAACAACAAATCTCTCAGAGGAAGCAGAGCCAGAACGCTCTTTAGAAGGGAGGAGGGTGAGCCTTCATCTCACATACTTTAGAAAGCTGGTGATTTTAACCAAGCCAGAAGCTCTGCCTGAGGCTTGCTGATCTGCTTCTGGCAGTCCACTCCTGTCACAATTACAGTCTAGAAAAGCCTATGAGGCCGCCCCACATAGTCACACGGCATCACTGAGCCAAAAGCAACTCAGGAACACACACCTTTCAATCAGACATAAAGAAAACTACAGAGTGCTAATAGCTTCTTTTCTATTCTACTTTCCTTTCTTTTCTACAAAGTCCTTGACAGTCTCCAACAGCAAAGTCCACCACTGCCTCGGATGAGAAAGGCCAGAAAACGACTTTTTGATAGTATCCCTGCAACAGACGGAAAGGTGGCAAAGCTGGCATATCTCCAGGTGCCACGAACTCGAGAAAACAAGATGTGGCAGATTGATCACTTATGAAAACCCCAGGTTTAGAGCCTGTCGCGAGGCCGCTTACAGCTTGTCCCCCAGCTTGTCCAGGATGGTGTCCCCTGCAGCCAGCTGCTTGTGCCTCAGCCGCTCCTTCAGGTCGGGGAAGGCCCGCAGGGAGTGCACCTCCTCAAACCGCACGTTCTGGACCGCCTGCAGCTGCTCGGCCAGGTTGCTAAGAGAGGCCAGGAGGGGCTGGCAGTCGCTCAGCGTGCTCCGCCACACGCCCTGCTGGTCCTCCACCGCCGGAAAGCACCTCCTCAGGGCCTCCCGCACAGCCAGCAAAGGCTGGTCTGCAGTCATCGTCTGCGGAACTGCCAAAAAAACAAAAACAGCGTTAGAGCCCCAAGTCAGCAGCGGACGTGATAGGTCATTAAAATAATCCCAAACCAACAAACAGAAAACTCCTCCGGAACTGGGACTTCAGAGATTGTAACTCTCACCGGAGAAGATCGCCCATCTCTCTCCCGCAAAGCGGCCGATGGATTCGAACCACCCGTCTCAGAGTTGACAGCGCAGCTCCATACCCACTCAGCCAACGGGGCGCCTTTAGCGGGCTAAAGGTGGAGTTCTGTTTTAAGCTTAGGTCCAGCTCTCAGCTGCTACCATCAAACCACGAATTTCTATTCCTGTCGCAAGGTGTTATCCTGCTACTAGAAAAGGCTCTCCTAAGCAAGAATCTTATTTCTCACCTGAGGAATGATTGCTTAACTATCACTCGGAGAAGTCTTCTTAGGGGATCGAGCAATATTCTAGTTCAGGCTGCAGATTCTCGGCGCCAAAGCTCTTTCTCCCCCTCAGTCTCTTGCTTCCGACGCCGGATTCTTGTCTTCCCTTCTGGAGGAAGTGTAATTCTCCCTAAAGCAGATATAAAAGTTTTGGACCGAGCAACAGAAAGATCGAGGACATGCTGGTCTCTCTGCGCATGCCCCAAATCTACTCCTTCCCCCAACCCTTCAGACCCCGCCCTCTTGAAACTAGCCCTGAAGCCTCAGCGGCGTCCAGATTACGGAAATACATCATCTAGCCGCAGTGACGTCTGGGTGTTGTAGTCCAGTCTGAGGAATGGCTGCCGGGTTGTGTTACTTCCCAGTGATTGGATGTTGAGGGGCCTTTCTAAGACGGCGACTTCTCATTCGTCAGCCTGTAGCAGTTGAGTTTGAATTTGGTGGCGGCAGTCTCATGTCCGCCTAGTCGCAAGAGTCAATTTCTACCGGAGGGAGTAGCATTGTATTTTCTAAGCCCTTGTTCTGGAATCTGCAGGTACGTGATTTGCGCGTTCTTTATGCCCAGGCCCCTAAGGAAATGGAAGTGTCTCCTGCGGGTTCCCCTTGGTCTCCCGTCGGCTCTTCCACGTCTCTGCATTTACTTTCTTTCTTCTTCCGCCACTGGACCCCTTGTTGTCCGGTGCTTTGCTCTCCACAGCTTTTACCGAAGCGCCATGGCTCCGGCTAAGAAAGGCAGCCGTCGGACGGCCAAGAACAGCTCGTTGCGGAGCCGAAAGCTCTCCTCCTTTCTCAAAGACTTCGACCGTGAAGGTAAGGGGCGGGGCCGGGCTGAGCACCTGCCCTTGACTTAAAAACCCTGGAGGAGTGGGAGGCAGAGAGCTCGGACATCAGGCTCCATGCACTCGCTAGATGACCCAGGTCTTGTCGTCTTTGCCTTTCCACAGTGCACATCCGATCCCAGCAAATTCAGTCAGACAGACAGAACCTCCTCAAAGAGGTGGATAACCTATACAACATGGAGATCTTGCGGCTCCCCAAGGCGCTGCGCGAGATGATGTGTCTTGACTACTTCGGTAAGAACTACTTGAGTTTCCCCAAATCTCGGCCCGGAGCCCTTCAGTAGAGACTGCCTTCAGAAAGAACCTGCGCACATGTCACCTTCTTGGGGAGGTCTTCTGTGACAGCCCTACTACCCCAATCGTTATTTCCCCTCCTTGCTTTAGATTTCCTCCATAGCCCTTGCCATCATCATCAAACTTAGGGGGCTGAACTGTCTGTAAAAGTCTAGAGACTTTATGGATACAGAAACGTGAATTTTACCTATTTTTATGTTAGGAGATACTAATCCTTTAGAGAAATTGTTTCTGACTATTTAAGATTTTAAAGCCTTTCTGAGCTTACAGGTCATAGCAAAGGAGATGGGAATAATTTGCTGCTTCCTGATCTTATGCTTTCCTATTTCTTCTTGTTGATTATGCACATAGCCTGTCCAAAATGCCAGGACAGAACAATACCTGACAGTACTAAGTGCTCAGTAAAATTTTATGAAATAATGAGTAAGTAAACAACGTTGTTGCCAGAGCTCAGATGGGGGGGCGAACCTCACCCTTGTGCAACATATAGAAATTGCTCATTTTAAAATGGGCAAACGTACAAGATATAAAGACACAAGGCAGAGGCGGTTGGAATGTAGATATTTGGGTTTTAAAGCCTGAGTTCTTGATTGTTATTCAGAATTCTATGAGTTTCTAGCAAGAATAGTGAAATTAGCTTTTTTTTTTACCCAACATGTTAAAATTTTATTTACAAAGTGTTAGGTTAGGTTAGTGGACTTAAAGAAGAAATCAGAGAGAATGAGAGAAAGCTTAATGCAGCTTTATTAAAGGGGGGTGGGGGTGGAAGGGGAGCTCCCGGGTGAGTTCCTCATCCTGGAGAGGCAGAATGGGAAGTC